CCCGTTCTATCCAACGATTTGGGAAGTGTTAGCCGCAGTTACGATAAATCCATCCGTTAGCTCTCGCGAAATCGAAAGACAAGCTGGAATTAGCCGCAAAAGCATTTTACGCATACTGAGAAAGCACAAATACCATTCATATCATGTATCAAAGGTTCAAGAACTGATCGCAAATGACTGTTATAAACGTTTAGAATTTTGTAATTGGGCTCTCACTCAAAAAGACAACTTTTTCATTTTCCGGCTAGGTCATCAGATCTAACGCCCCTCGACTTATTCTTATGGGGCTACTTAAAAAATAAAGTTTACGCTGAGCTTCCGACTACAATGGCCAATATAAGGGATCGTATCGTCAATGAATACAAGGAAATAACATAAGATACATTAAGAAACATTAATGAGTCATTAATTTCTCGATTCAGAAAGTGTTCTGAAGCAAATGGTCGCCATATTGAACCTTTTTTGTAAATAGACAAAAATTAAAATATCTCCTAAAGTAATAATTTTTTTACATAAATAGGTTAATACTTTTTTGTAAATAATATGAAAGAGCATCAGATGATGCAATAAAAAATATATGATTCCATTTAAATAAACATTAATGACCTTTATATGTCCTTGACAGGTCCACCTAAAAAAAAAAAAGTACAATCAGTAAGAGCCCCTTTTAAAGCCATTCAACTCCATGTGAAACATTGTCTGCTACGCGTAATAATAAAAACGTAAATCAAGGTGGTAAAATGTGGTGACCCACCCTATATATAGTTTTTGTTTTTTGCTTACCTATATTACTAGTATTAATGATTTTAGGATCATATTCATCAGCTATACAAGTTCCTCTCTCTACATAAATATCTCCAGCATATTTACAAAATAATTTAACATCTTTCTCAGATATTGAATCTGAAGATTTGCCTAGCTGTTGTAGCAATTGTAGTGTGCGTCTCCACACTGCTTCTACATCAGCTAATGCTTGCTTGTGATAACTAAAAATAGATAAAACCAAGATTAATATTATAGATATTATGTGATTATTTGAAAACGTTATATTAATCAATCATTATTCGTTTAAAATCATACATTTGCTGTAGAGTTATATATTTCTCTGTATCAGCTGTCATATCTGGTAAAGTTCCTTTTAATGGTAACGAACCACAACCTTCATTATCAACAAAATCTTTTACTGCTTTAGCAATGATCCAAAATGGACTGCTCTAAAATACATTTAATTATCAGTTAAAATATTGTTATTATAGAAT